CGCGCCACTCGGCCGGCCAGAGAACACGGTTTTTGAAGTACCAAGTGGTCCTTGTATTTGGTATGTCCCATTCAGTGTACGTCCCTCCCACAGGGCTAGTAAATATAGGACTCCTTTTCTGTTAAGAAATAACCAAGCTCCTGGAAGAAACAGCACACAGCTGAGTTCTCAGTTGCTGAGTTATGGCTGCAAGAACTCCAAGACGCATGTTGTAAAGGTTTTTGACCAGTAGAGAAGCAGCCAAAGAACCTCAGTGTGTCAGCATGCCTTTCCCCTTAAATTACATAAGCACTACAACATTCAATATTTGAAAACCAGGAAAAGAATTAAACTCTTTTCATGTCTGTAACATTTTAAAAATTGATTACACAAAGTTATTTTGGGCTAGGGAAGAGTTTTTCTTTTTTTTTTTTTTTTTAAGTTTTTAAATCAGTCATTTTGGAAGTGACTTCCCTAGTAGCTGTTGTTTTCCAAGTCACGCTGAAGTTCCTCGAATACTGTTACAGACAGCCAGACATGTGGTCCCAGACACGTCTGGGCATCATCAGGAAGGGTTAGTCATCTTGATGCTTGCTGTTCATTTGGTAACAATACACCAACTGTGCCTACTCTTCCTTAATCCTTTTTATTGGCATTCATACGAATTTTTAAATTAAATTTATTTCAAATCAAGGTTTAAAAGTCAAATAGATCTAGAAAGACTTGGGAAGACGACAAGTTTGTTCCCCCAGTCACGTTTCCTGCCCTGCAGAGCATGCACGTGTGCTCCCTGCTTGTCCTTTGGCTTTTGCTGCCGCCTCTGAGTGGCCTCTGTGCTTGACACGCTCATTTATTGCTCTTCCCTCCCGGTTCACACATTGTCTCTTCACTTGACTCAGAGTAGATGTGAAGTTTCTAGCTTCCTTTTACCCACCCTTCTGCTTTCTCTGTGCAGACAGACATGGCTTCCCAAAGCAGGTGCATCTTTGATTTGGTCAGTTCAGTGTTTGGTGTTTATATTATGAATACATCGTAATACTCACAGCTAGGCCAGTTGGCGTGGTGTGATCACTTTTCCTTTCCTGGATAAGTTTATGTTTTCCATGACGTTCATTTGGGTCTTGTTTGGTTTTTGTTGGCTTAATTTTCTATGTATTTGTCACTAAAACTCAATTCCAAATTCACTAGTTGTCTAAATCTCTTTCAAGAAATTTAGTCCTTTTTATTTGATGATGAAATTCAGTTTTTTATTAACCTCATCTTGAATAAATCTCTCCCAGACCTCCGACCTGCTGGAATCTCCCTTGAAGCTCTTGCCTCCCCTCGGCAGGGTCCTTGGTTTCCTGGAATGCTTGTTTTTTCTTTCTTGAGTTTTTTACCCTCTCGTTTTGATGCAGCAGTTCCTCAAGGAGTTGCCTGGGAAAAGATGCATGAGAGGTAAAGTTGAGAGAACCTGGATGACTGGAAGTGCTTTATTCATTCTGCTCTTATACCTGAGGGGGAGTTTGGCACCGCTTTGCTCCTCTGTCTCCCATCTTCCAGTGTTATTGTTGAAGCCTTTATATGTGACTGGGTTTTCTTCTTTGCAGATTGAAGGATTTTCTGTGAAATTCAAAACACCCAGTATGGTGATGCCCCTTTGAGTTTGTTTTTATCTAATGTCTTGCCCACACTTTGGGCTCCTTTATTTGGAATCTCCCGTTCTTCAATGCTGGGCTTTTTTCTTGATTTATTGCTTTGATTTTTTCCCCATACACTTTCTCTTTCTAGAATTAAACAATTGGACCTCCTGGATTGACAATCTGATTTTCTTAGGCTTTCCATTTTCTTTCTGGAAGACATTCTCAACTTTATCTTCTAGCCCTTCTGTTGAGTTTTCCTCATTTTATTTCAAAGAGCTTTCTCTTGTTCTCTCTGTTCTTATTTTATAACCTTCTGTTTTTATGTCATGGGTATAGAATCTCCTCTTATGTGACGGCATTAGTGAATTTTAAAGTTTTCTTTTCCCTGAAGTTGCTGTTTGCTGCAGGCTGCTTTTTGCTTGTTTGGGGATTTTGCCTTTCATATCAGAGCCTTTTCTGAGCTATCGGATGTTTTTGTGCCTGCTCATTTGTCGGAGGGTCTCTGAGCCTGTGTTCGGAGCTTGTCAACTGTGACATTCACTGTAGAGGCGCCT